CGACAGACGTCGCACGTCCACTGTGACATGCACCAAAGCCAAACAATAGGGCAAGAAGTATTGAAAACAGCATTTTTCGGTCCTATTCTTCATTGCGTCCGCAGGGCCATCGTTACCTTGTAGAGGCGAGGCTTGCAGCCTTGCGTCCCTGGTTTGGTATCCCACATGACTTGTCCCGACAACAGCACCTTGGCTGCATTCGACAGCGGCGGGACCAGGCAAACCTTCTGCGGAGAATTCCGCGGGATTCAAGTATAGCTTTGGCTTCGGATGATTCCGCCAGCCACTCCTTACTTCAGGTTTAGACTTTTGGGCATGTTTTCCCGCCTTTGCCGTCGTTGTCGGTGAACGCACCTGGGATCATTGAGGCAATCGGTCCTGTCTCCGCCTCCTCGAACCCCAAAGAGTACAAGTGAGATTCAGCAGACTACCATCCATCAACCTGGATCGGGACTGTTGGCTCTGCGCCCATCTCCGAGGGCCAATGAACACAAGTGAGATCCCCCTAACCTCTCATCATCACCTAGTTCATCTGAAAAAAGGCTTTTTCCGGGCTGCATGAAGAACAAAGTGTGAAACTGACATCCGCCATGCCTCTTCTGGTTAAGGTATTGTGGTAGATCACCTTAGGCTGTGAGAATTTGGCCCTGCGCTCGTCTCCGAGGCTCTATGCCGCATGAGAAACATTCTGCAGACCTCTTGTCGTCAGCCTAAATCCAAATTTGAATGTCAATAGTGATCTCAAAGCGCAGTCCTGATGCCCAATGCCGATACTGTAATGGTTCTAGATCTGTGATGATTGACGGTATATGCGCTTACAAACTCAAATCGTGATGTAGGAGTAGTATCGAGGCTAGCAACCATTTCGATCCGATCTGTCAGCGCTCAAGTCCTATCAGTCTTCGGTTCATAGCCCGTCCACATCTCGGATGTTTTCAGTTCGTCGAAATTTTTGTTTGTCTCAGTATCGTCTCTCCAGAAACTCAACAGCATGTCCTGAAAGTGTTCGACCTGGCATGAATACATGTCGCAGGCACGATAGTCTTTGGCAATCGAGTAAAGATTGTCAGCAGCGATTGCATGCTGTAGCGTGATATGCACGTCTCGGAGTGCCTTTACAGAATATGGACTGGCCTCTCTCCCAAGGAATACTAAGGATACTGGTGACCTCCGGCCGAGTTCTGCATCATCTGGCCCTGGTCCGGTCTCTCTATCGCCGATTTGACGTTGTAGCAGAAATTGGTACAAGGTTTCTTTTTGGAAGGCATCGTGATCAGCTCTGGCTTTCCAGTTTGCGCGTTGTCGTCTACGTTAGCATTGACAAGGCACCACGGGGCAGCCTCAAATTTCTTCGCTAGCGGGAAAGCCGCAGCTCTGTCAAGGCTGCTGCTTCTATAGTCGACATGATTGCGATAGCAATATCGATCTTTTGCTCACCGTCAAGCCCTTATCATTATGATTCACATGCGAACTGAGCGTGCTTGCGGTAAGGGTCAGTTACCCAGACGTCGTCGCCATGATCGGAGGAGGTGTATGATACCGTGACCACGGATGAGAATGTCTTCGGGACAGGCATCGTGGCACGCATCCCTAAGCTCGTCTGGGTGATCATGGTAAGATTTCACTAGATACGATGGCTTTCCGGAGGACACGCCGCGTCGTAAGCAGCCGCAAATGCTACGGTTCATTCATTAGCTGCTGGAAGAATAGGAATGAAACATTGTTAGGACCCACCTAAAGTAACGGAAAGCAGATACAAAGCCTATAGTACATCACGGTAGAGGATCTATCGAGAAGTGTGATGACCACGAAGACTTCGGAAAGCAGATTCACATAATTTTATGCTGAAACCCTGAAGCAGACACGTAATGAATATCCTCAACTCGTCAAGGGGTCCCTGTTTGAATGTTCATGGAACAGTGATCAGATCGAGGCGCGCTGTGAGGAAATCGTTGGGTCAAGCGTCGTGGACTGACTTTAAAGGACTCAGCGATCAAGATCGAATCCGTACGTTAGCTGAATAAGACCATCTTCACGTGTAGCCGGGTTGACCAGAACGAACCTTTGCATTCTGGTGTGCTGAGCTGGACTCGCATTGAACGTTTCGTGCATTCTTGAAGATAGCATACCGGCTATAAAGAACTTCACAGTTGCAGGCGCAAAGCAGGCGCGCGAGGAGTGCACTTGACACCACCGAGATGGTGTCATCATGGAGGGTCTTTCGCGAACCGCACTTGATCGTAACCTACACGGCAATAGTTGCTTGTTTTTTCGGCGGCCACTCTGCACCTGCGTGAATAATGTCAGCGTATTGTTCGCCAGCTACTTCTGTGAAGCTGGAGGGCAAGAGCACCACGGGAGCACCGTGACATACCAACATGCATGACAATCTCAAGATTCACTATCGCGAAGGTTGGCGGTTACATAGATACTGGTCCATCTTTGACGCATGACAGCATAATCTCCGCTTGCTAGAATGGTATGTAAATTCTTCGAGTTCTGCTTTGCCTAACCTCACAGAACATGACCTACTACATATCAAGAAGCAAGAAACTAACGACATTGCAGGATAAGACCGAGACTACAAGATATCAAGATCCAGAGCACGACACCAGTTACAGTCAAACATCAACACCTCAGACTTCGACATCAAATTCTACCAGTATAACCCTCGAAGAATTGTGTGTAAAGCTGCGAAGAAGACAGAAGAGACGACTAATTTTCGACAGAAAATCGTCTTCCGCGGATCCAATGCCAGCAGAAAGAATCTATCTGTGGCAATGCTGCTCATGCAATCACTGGAACCCGGTGAAAACGGGCGAGACCAAGAGCATCCAGAGATGCGGCAATGACGAGGAACCTGAATATGGTATGTGCGGACATAGACGAGCAAAGTGTCCATCGTGTACACCGGACATGGTGAGTTCTGTTGAATCTTGGGAAGGACTCATGAAGGCAGCCGGCAAGTGGAAATTGATAGAAGGTTTGGGCACTATAAAGATGAGCACGACTACCCAGACAAAGCAGAGAAAGGAAACAGGTCGTGATACGGATTGATATTGCGCTTCGAATGAGACCATGGAAAGACTGTTCTTGTATGATACCCGCAAGCTGGAATTGTGTTCGGATTTCTGATTTTGGGCATTTCGCAAGGATTGCTTTGGCTCTGGCTCGGGTTGACTGGCTCTGGAGAGTCCTGCGGATCAGCGATATAGTGAATAAGAATTCATCAGCGTGGGAGGAGTAGACGATGTCGAGCCTTGTGAGGCTTAATTCCTGCTGGTAGGCGATTGATGGCGTTCTTAAGGTCACCACAAAGCAAGTAGGCCCATTTCACCATGCCATAGTTATGGTGATGGACCTGCTCCGCTCTTGTGCTGGTCCAAGTTACGACGAGATTCTGTTGTAGCTTTGTGGTTGTGGTTGTAAATCGTAAACTCACAGAAGACTCGATATGACTCGAGTACATTGGATTCAAGCCCCACATTTATCCGAGCCTCCATACCATGAATTCGTAACCAACAAAACAATCCTCACACCACCAATCAAAGCGCGGCGGCGCTGAGCAAAGTTTGGCGAGCGCAACTGGTCTAATCTCCACTTGCTCATGAGTACCCCGAGCAATCAGTGAACGCAGTCATGGGCATCTGCGCCTCCTGTTTGGGCCTGGAAAGACGGGATTCCAATTCAGATGTATGACTTCCCTACAACCATAGCTGCGAAGAGAGAGTACTGATAACAATTGTCTGCGTAGCCATCGGACAGCCAACACCTTCTCGGCGATCCCTACCAACCTCATCAATATGGGACCCTCAATCCCGACCATGGAAACCGCCCCCAAGTAGACCCAGAAGAGATTAGGAGACAGCGAGATGCATTGGAAAGACTATGCGCTCAGACATCCGAGTACGTGGCATAGTGTTGTTCAGAATTACATGGTGAAATGCTAACACGCATCAAGCAAACTGATCGATGTTGCACAATCCGCAACGACCGAAGAGAGCGGCGGCGACAAGCTCCATACAGACTACCAAAGACTATTCCGAGAACGATTCGCGGCCATTTCTCCTCCTATCGGTGAACCATGCGAAGATGAAGGAGAAGAACGGCGGCCTTCCTCCGACAGCACCTTGACCGACGAGACCGAAACGACCTGGCTCGCGCGTATTGTGCAAGAAGATGGGCAGGATATTCTCGATTGGAAGGCTCCTGGACAACTCGGATCGTTGAGCGTACAATTCGATGATGTATTGGGACCTCCCGGCAGTAATGGGAAGTCTTCGCGTTTTTTATGATATTGAGGGCATGTTCCTCCAAGCGCGAAATATTGGCGCGATACCATGTCCAATTTTCATTTGTATGGTTTCTCATCAGTGCTGGTGGCAGGCGTTCTCGAAGCATCAGAAATTTTACTTGCGTTTTTATTGAAGCGATTTCACGGAGGACGCGGGATGTATGGGATATTTGTATGAGTGAGTGGGACTGGATACCCAATGCGAGCAGGAATCTGAGAGTCTGCTCAATGAGCAACCGGACTATTGAACATTATCGTCATCGAAGACTTCATGAATCATTTGATGGTCACTGTGTACCCAATGTCCTTACAAACACAATCCTCTTCGGCCACGCAAATATCCTAAAGCAAAAGCGGCCTAAAAGATGTGATTTCAACTTCTCGTAGGGACTGGTGGTATAACATCTGAATAGTAAATCGTGATGAGTGCAAGGAGATCAGAAGCTTGTTAGACGTGTACAGACATATATAACTTACAATGCAATGTTCCACCCACTCGATCTGGACACTTATTCTAACACCACTGCGTACCAAAGCAAAGAGTTTCGATAATCTACAAGTCAAAATAGGCAAATGGCCGATCACCAAGATAGGCGCGATCCTGCAACCTCGTTTTCACGGCTTACTACTCCGTATATCCGCAACTCAATCTCTTTACCAAAAAGACATCGGGTACTCCTGTACCGTGGGGAAGCGAAAAAAGAAATGCTCCGGGTGGGGGTCGAACCCACGACATTCGCATAGCCTTTCAGGTCATACTTGTGCGAGGACGAGTATAAGAACGACGCGCTACCACTGCGCCTGTTTTCATTAGCCTGGTTCTGATCAAATCAAAGGCGGACGATTACTGACCACCGGGGCTGTTGACTGAGCAGAATTTTCCAAATTTGCGGCTCATATACACCAAACTTCGAGGTTGAGTGAAGTAGAAATCTGCCTCGAGAGCTAAACCCTTTTCGTGCCCCATCTTTGATTGTAGCGTCCTGTTATGTCATCTTCTGCTCTTTTTCTTTGCATCTCGAGTCCTGGAATTCGATTTTATCTTGCTGGTTGGAAATGTTACGCAAAACAGCGGATTTGAGAATTTTTTAGAGCCTCTTAAAATGGTAGTGGGAAAAAAGCATATATGACACGAATATCACGCTATGTAAGAACGCAGCTTATACCTCGGTAAAACATCAACCCCTATCCCTTTCCTGCTATCATACAGAGGAACCAAGACTTGCTTTACTACGTCCCGTTCTTCCGAGACATAACTGTGCCTTGATCATGTTGCAGAACCTTCGATACTACCCACGCATTCGCTTTCTGAGGACTTACGTCCCGCATGAGCCTAGAGCCACAATCGAGCTCCCTTGTATCGATCTTCCGACAAATTTAAAGCGGCCGTCACGTCGAGTGAAGTCCACGATATCACGATCGATATGTATTTGCAACTCGGTGATGCGACCTACGAAAGATTCAGGCACACAAGCTAAGATTGGCCAATTTACGTCCAAGATTTGCTAGTCATAGCCGTTCTGGCTTCGATTGCGATAATATCCTAGAAGACTCTGAGAGTAAAATCGCTAAAACTCATCGATATGAATGCTAAGTCGTTGGGAGAGTCTTCCCAAGAACAGACATTGGACCAGTAAAGAAAGGAAAAGAGTCTCCGAGTATTGTGCCAGTTATCACGATAGCAGGGGACGATATTGACCATTTTAGCTCCAAGAGCCCAGCAACTACTTCACAGGCAGCTTCGCGACAAAATTAAATGTTCCAGAAAAGTCGCATCCCTCTTCAGGTCATGTCACCTGCCAATTCCTTTATCTGATTTGCCTGTCTTTTCAACTTTTCATTCTCCTCCCTCAACGTTCGATTCTCTTCTTTCAAGAACTCATTCAACCCCTTGATGAGCCGGACATCCCCAAACACCAACCATAGATGCTCAATGACCTCATGGTAGTCCCAGCTTAGAAAGACTTGCTTCAACCATTCCACGTACACCGCGGAATCTTGTGCGTCTCTCGCTGCATCATGAATATCTTCGATATCTTTCACGAGCTGGAGGTAACGAGCGCCCATGGGAGGGAGGAATGGTAAGGTGCGCTCGGTTGGTTGTTCGTGCTCTGACATTGTGGAAGTGATGCACTCGGTCAAGGCTAAATGTCAATGCAGGATTTCGGCGGCCTGTTCGATTTCATATATCCACCAATTTGATTGAGACTGTTGGATTGAAGGCATGTAAAACATGAGAGAAGAAAGGGCATCTGCTAACAATCAGCTGACTACACACCATTTGCCATGACCTTCTAGCAAATCTCAAGACAATGGCTTGGAACATCCTCTACCCCTTTGTCCGGGTTTCGCGCTGTCATCACTCTTTCAGCATTACAGGGTCAGGGACAACGACAATGACTGGTTTCGAGACCAGTCCTTTAAGAAACTCAAACAATGAAAATGCGCACCGCTAGAACAATGAAAGACTGATTGCAAAATCAAGAAAGCAAGATTCTGTGCAACAGCTCTATCGTCTACGATCACGCTCCCACTTCTTCAGTCTATCCCAGTATTCCAGAAGGAACTATCTGGGATTATCGATCAATGCTCGGCATTTAGGTAGGAGAGTCGTGGTGCAGTTTTTCTGTTCTCGGCGCGAAATTGAGAATGTTGGCTGTGGGATTTTCCTAGAACATACATTGTGGAGGGGAAAACTAGATACTGCAGATTTTATATATGAAAGTGTAGGTATGGTGACCACTACTTGCTTCACGCAACTGAGAGTAAGGCAGTAAACTCATCAATAAACTCCCTTCCAACCTTCCAGCCCCCAAAAGCCCTCCATGAACGTTGATTATGTCCAAGTCAAATCTCCATTCTCAAAATCACATGTTTTAACACCTTCTTCCACATTCGTCTGCCCATACTAGACCTCTCGAGTGAATGGACCAATAACGACAAGCTCGGAATCATCTCCCAATGTCGTCAGTATGCGCCGTGTTGTCCCTCCTCCACAAATACGTCACGACTACCACTCCCACCTAGAATCACAAGCAAACACACGCATATTGAAAGGATCATTGTGGTCATTGATGACGGCGAAAGGTGAGGTGCGAGGGGAGGAGTGGTCATGCTGATGTCTTGATGGCAAACTTATGGAGAAGGGTCGGGTTGGTATATTATCCCAAACCCCTCTCTTCCTACGCATTTGGATTTCCATCGACAATCATCAACATCGAGATAAAGACTACCTCATCATCTGAATATATAATCTTCACGCACAATCATCAAAATGGAAAACGATAAAGGACAAGGCGTTTCGCACGCGACATCTTCCTCTGTTCCACAGAAGGTGCAGGAAAAGGTATGTTCTTCCATACCACGTTTCCCTTCTCTTCTTGCTCTCCATCAAAACCATTCCATAAACTCCTCTAACAATTCCCAGGCCCCTTCCAAACTCGAGCACGAACTCCCAGACTCGGTCCACGACACAAACTCCAACAAGGACACAGGCAAAGTGTCGCACGCTGTCGGCGATTCCATTGTGCCTCAGGCGCTTCAGGAGGCGTTGCCTGAGAAGGTGGAGAGGGCTGTTCCCAATGCTATTCATGATACTGGGGATAAGAAATAGAGGTTGCATTCATTGAGGAGAAGACCGAATCGAGAGCTAGGCTTGGTTGGATTAAGGATTGATGAGACTGTCATTGTCATTGTCTTGTAGAATTATCGTCATCAATGATAGATTTATCCTCCACATCGTTCATGAATTTGACGGTGACATTTTATTACGTTTGTTTCATGTCTTTGAACTTATCTCGTACATGGAAATTCTTTGACCTCTCCGACTTCTCAAACTCTCCAGATTTTCTCAAGCTGGATGGTCTGAATGCGGAGACATATACTTATTTTGTGTCACGACACCATCCTGCCTGGGCAATAAGCTGCAAGTGTTGCCGTGAGATGTTCGGAGGAGATTACGCGTCGTTGCTATGCCAGCTATGCTGCTAGCTATTTTCTATCTGCATCAAGGGAAGTGTTGAAGTAGGCCTCACAGGGTTCAATATTGACACCGGTGTCATTGCGTCCGTGGTCGTTGTAATAATTGAAATATCGTCCGGCCAAAGAAGCGGATGGATCATTCATTTGCATGGAGCATCAGTGTTTACCTTCGCCACCGTCATGACTGACAAAATCGCGCAATAGCTTGATAACACATCGACTATTTGCTGTCGAAAGGCTGGCAAGTGCCGGGTTATACCAAAACCCTGGGATGCAAAGGGTGTTGTAGAACACCATCCAACACTTACATCTGACTCCACAATAACAACTTCAAACAAGCAACAGCAATCTCCCGCAGCCTCTCCGAACCTCAATAAACTCTCAAGCGCCAACGAAAAGCCGATCATCCTCTGTTACCACCAAGTCTCATCCCTTCGTCGCCCTCGAACCTGCCAATATCTCAGTTGTTATCAACGACAACAGCAGCATGAACAGCAACTTCGTTTCATACGCTCCCATTCCAGAAGAGGAGACAAACGATGCCACCTTTGAATTGTCAAGTCATCGCGAACAAGCCCGCTACAAGGACCTCAAAGACGAAGCCAAGGAAATCCAGACTATCCTCGACGACATCCCAGGCTGGCAGACGGGCAACATATCCATCCCAGCCCGATACACTGAAATGAACCTCGCCTTCTTATCAGAACGTCTGGGAGCTGCCCAAAGCATCGTTGACGACCTTATCAAACTGTATGAGGCTATCGCCGACTCCGAGCAGGACGCCAGGGAGGCTGATGATGCTGATGACTCTGATGGAGTGGAGGAGGCGGAGGAGGAGCTGGAGATACTCAGAGAATTGATTGAAAAGAAGGATGATAGACTTCAACATCACAAGGTGAGGTATCCCGATTACTGAGCTCGGACCGGGACGGCTTGTGTTGCAATCCGGGTATCGTTGGTATTGGAATGGATACTCAATATTTGGGACAATTGTGCTGGGCCTAGAGGGGTGTTGGCAGCGCGATGGGTAGATGCACCAAATTCGAGGTGATAAATCCGGCTACTCCCAACCTCCGAGGTGAACAATGAGCTCCGAGTTTTCCCGATGGTGTCTGTCCGTAGTTCCTGGGATAGTGAGCTTGAATTGTAACTGTAGAACAAGAGATTCAACCTGCCTCTCCCTAACCTGATATCGATTTCGTCTCAATGTGCATGTGGCCCGATCTAAATCCTGACCTGAGATACAACGTCCCTCGACAAGCAATAGATACTCTCTTTTTTTAATATGAATACTTCCTTTCACATTCTTCCCATTTCTATTGGCTGCAATTTATGCTATAATTCCAGGGTACGGCTTATACCCCATCAAGCTGAGATCCGTTCCCCGAACGTGTCCTGGGTCGGGCTTCGTATGCAAAATCCGAGCGCATGAGGCCCGATTCCTCTCGCAGGCCTTCATGGAGGGCTAGAATCTGTATTCGCTATTCCGACTAGGCTGGCCAAGCATTGAGGGAGGTCTGCGTTCACCAGCGCTCGTTGTAGAGTCTTGGTTGGTCGAGGAAATCTGCCTGTCTGTTGATCTGGACGAGCCGAGCGTGGAAAACAGTCTATCATCATGTGCCAGGCTTGGTCATGGCACCATTATGCTGATGGGCAAACTGATACCCAATTGCCTACCATTCTGCTGATGTAAGGAACCTTGAGCAACCTCAGCTGCTCTACTTCTCCCCTATCTGGGCGATAGGTAACGCCGTAGGTGTGTCTCCCCTCGGATGTCAACCTCAACAGAGCAGCAATTGAGCACTCGTAATTAATATTGCA